TCAACAGACATGAACATATGCATTAGTACTGACTTACAAACAATTTTCCCAATTTGGCTACTTTTGAGACTGCGACCCTCGGAAGAGTCACTTTGGAGACAACGTTTCCTGTCTGTCACCGGAAGAACAAACAATGTTCGGTCACGTTGCCTTCTACGCTAGAGGCAGGAATCTAAAGCATCATCTCAACGTTTCCACTCTGTCACCAGAAGTTTTTCTCCGATTCTTTTATGTTTCTTTGAACAAGATGGTGTGATTCAATCTACCATATCGTCAGATATAACGATGGAGTCAGCCGTTGATATGTTTTACATATGTTAAGTGATTTTATCAATTGGTAATATTTTAAGGATTTTTAAAATATATTAAGAAGGTTATTAAGTATGTTTTGATATGCCCAAATCTTTCCCAACACAAATACAAAATGTACAAAAACCAATACCAAGCTTGAGTCTCTTCTACTTCACTTTCATTTTTTCACCTAAAGTAATCTATAGTCATAGTGACACACCAAATATATAGAGATTTTCTTGAACATCATACGTAGGGTCCAACTGGTGACCAATTTTTTATAAGGAATGAAAAGGAATAAGTTATTCCTCCTTGTTCCTCATTTTGTTTACCATTTAGCAGTAATATATATTCCAAATTTTGACACATGGACCCCACACTATTCTTATACGTTCCTTTTTTTTAGGAATCATAGAAGAAAATTGTTACTCTTCAAATTTGATGTGGAACAAATAGGATAACAAATTAAAAAAAACAAAAAAACAACAAAATCATGCAAAAGTTGTTGATAACGTATAAAACCAATGCAACTATTATTCTCATGTGATAACGTCAAACTCTTTTAGGTTCTTTTGATAAGTACAACTAATGTTTAAACAATTCGTTCATATCTTATATAAAATTTAAACTAATCTTTCTATGTCTCATAATTATCTCATGAATTATTTAATTATGTTTAAAGTCTTATGCAATACAATGCTGAAGATGATGTAGTGGATGAAGAACCAACTGAAGGCTCCTATATGAAAAATATTCGAGATCAAATTGCTGAGCAAATGTGGTTAGGAAAGAGACGTAGTTCTCAACGTCTATAATTTCTTGTTTTAATTATTATCATAATTTTTTTATCATATTTTTTTTATATTGAGTGTTCATCGAACATGATGCTTGTTTTTTTTTAAATAAGTTTTCTTTAATTTGTTTTTATAGTTTGTTCTGTTTTTTGGTTACCATTTACCATATCAGTTGTTCTATTTTTTCCCTGCGTCCATTCCTTTTTTTTTGTTCCTTTTTTTTTCTTATGTTCCTTTTTTTTCTTGTTCCTCTTCATTCTTTTTATTCCTCAATAGGTTACCAGTAGCAGCCGTAGATTAAAGTATTTTAAAATATTTTTTCGGCACATGTTAAAGACAACTTCATAATGTGTAATATATATCATGAGAGTGTAACTAGCTGAAAATTCATCGAGTTCGGTTTTTATTTTTATCCAGAAAGCCCCAAATATAATCAAAATTAACCGAATATATAAAAAATAACGGAAATTAGAAAGAATAGTTAAATTTGGTATAATTTTGAAATTTTTCTTTTCGACTAATATAACTAACAACATTTGGATATGCTAATTATCTAAACTATTTAATTGTTTTGAATCTAAAATATATATCTATATATATAAAGTTAGATTTTTCTCTCTTCTCATGATGCCACCTAAGCATCCACCTAAGCCACATTTTTTTTGAACATTAAAATAAATTTAAAACATTCATTGCATATTTATGTTACTTATTTTATTACTAAAAAGTTTATATAAATAAAAATAAATTATGTAAAAAAATGAAATGTTAAAATAAGAAAAACAATACTTTAATTTTTTATTGGTGGTAATAATATAATTCAACTTTCATTTTAAATTGATCATAATTTAATATTTTAAATATGTTACTGATTTTTAGAATTGAAGTAAAGTTTAAATTTATGGTAGACTAAAACAACATTTATGTAATTGTATATATAAAATTATAAAGAGAAAAAATAAAATGAAAGTTAAATATTAGTTTATAACATGATCAAAAAGAAAAACAAAATGATAGGGGTATTTTTAGTGGTTTTTTTTGAAAAATTTTGAAAAGGGGGTATTTTTAAAAAGAGGTATATGAAAAGGGCTATTTTTGAAATTCCCCCTTAAAAATAATAATAAAATATCACAATATGAATAAAAAATCAACAAAACAAAATTATAAACCTCCCGCGCGGAGCGCGGATCAACTGCTAGTATATATATATATATATATATTTGAGTTTATAACTATAGTTTTGGGTATTATTTTCGGGTATCTTCTAGGTTCTGGATATTTCGATTAACTGCTAATTTAATGATTTTTTACCCATAATTGAAAGAATATTCCTTCAAAAAAATTTCCCGCCAAATTTTTTCCACCAAAATCTTTCCCGCTAAAATTTTCCCGCCTGAAAAATTTCCGACGAAACTTTCCCGCAAAAAAAAAATTTTACAACAATTTTCCCGCCAACTATTGTTTAAAGGGTTTACAAGGATTTTTAAAGGGTATTTTAAAGGATTTACAAGGGTTTGTAAAAAGATTTACGAGGGGTTTTCAATGGTTTTTAAAATATTTGTAATGGCTTTTAAAGGGTTTCAGAAGCTCAAAGGTTTTTGAGTGGTTTTTAAGGGTTGTACAATGGTTTTTTTAAAAATATAAGTTTATAATGGTTTTTAAAGGATTTACAAGGGTTTATAAAAGAGTATCAAAGAGTTTTTAAAAATTTACAAGGATATCTAGAGGGTTTCTATAAGAATTTACAAGTGTTTTTAAAGGCATTTACAAGGATTTAAAAATGGTTTTAAAATGATTTATAAGGACTTTTAAAGATATTTACAAAGATTTAAAAATAATTTTAAAGGGTTAACAATGGGTTTTAAAGGGTTTTAGAAGTTTACGCAGTTTTTAAAGACATTACAAGGACTTTTAAATGGGTTTTTTTAAGGATTTACAAGGGTTTTTAAGGGGTTTTAAAAGTTTACAAACGTTTTTATTAAACGATTTAACACGGTTATAAGGGGTTTAAAGGATTTACAAGTGTTTATAAATGTTATAAAATGATTTACAAAGGTTAACTAAAGTTTTTGAAGGTTTTGGATGACATTAATAAAAAATGACATTATGGGTTTTTAAAATATTTTTTAAGGGTTTTAAAAATATTTATAAGGTTTTTAAAAGGTTTATTATAAAAATTGCAGAAAATTATGGCGGGAATTTTTTTTGGTGGGAAATTTTTTGTAGCGGGTAAATTATTATCAGAAGTTTTTCGTAAGAAATATTCTTTTTGTTGGAAATAATATTCTTTTTTCATGATGGCTTATAACAAAATAGGGTAATTAAGTCATTTGTACTTAGAAGAGAATATTTTTGAAAATTGACACCAAAAGATGGTATTTATACAAAAGGTAACCTAAAAAAAAAATTCTGTGAAAATCCCGCTTAATTAAAATGTATAAATTAGTATTGACATTTTCACCTGTAATGACTTATTAATTTGTTCTTTGAAACTTATATTTCTATTGGCATTATAAGGTAATTTAATACTCTTAGTAAGGTTTATTATAAAATATATACCTCCTTTTTTAATAAAGAGGAGATTTATTTCATATTAAAGTAATTAAACATATAGATGGTAAAAGCACATGTATTTTTAGTTTTTAAATTCTAATAAAAATTTTAGGTTTATGACACTACTATCTTTTTTTTTTTTTATTTACATAATTCTACATAATTATTTTACATAATGTAATTCATTTTATATAAATAATTTATTAAAAAAATTATTGTATTAATCGTAAGAATTTAGATATGACATAAAGTAGATTTTCTCAACCTTTGAATTGGTTTGCTTGACTATAGAAACCACACCACACTGAATGCACTTGTTCTGCACAACACATCATGCTGATTCAGATAGTTAATTAACAGCTAGAGTTTTTCGCTAAGATGGCTAAGTTCTATGGTAATGTGGAAAAAAAAAACAGAAGGTTTCTTTACGGATTTGGTTACAGAAACATCTCCGATCGTCTAAGGCGTAGTGAACCACGATTAGATCTTGAACTGATGGCAGGACTCTACGGACCACCACTACCGGTGGTTTTCACAGATTATCGATGTATTAGATTGTAGAGTTGTGATAAGTATTAATGTGTTTAGTTTCAATGTATTATTCTTTTGGGTTGATATTGCTAAAAGTATTCAATATAATTGGCCATGAATGTTTTCAGTTTATAATTAAAGTCACATCATAAGCGGTTCAAAAATATTTAAAAAAATAATTACAAACATGTAATTTTTTATTTATTGCCTACTCATAGAATTTTGTTTTATTATATATATAATTTGAATTTGTTTCACAAAAATAGAATCATATAATGATTAATAATAATTTAATATGATAAGTTAGATTTCAAACCTTATATGTTCACTTTGATTTTAAATCTGTTAATGAATTTATCCCCCGCTTATGGTTTATGTCTGTAATAGTGAGTAGTCGTTTTTAATGAAACAAAACAACAAAACATCATGAATCGATACTAATTTATTCCATGCTCTACCCAAAAATATCCCATGATGTTTCTCATGATATTTATCCCATGAAGTTCGATACTTATTTACCCCATGATCTTTCTCATATTCTTTAAGAATATCAAATCAAATTATAATAAATAAATAATTATAACATTTCAATGGTCTATTTTATTATATAAAAGTATATATCTAAACAAAATAAATATATGAAACTAACTATAACTATTCAGTAACTGCCCCGCTATTAAGTCCAAATTTTGGTTGAATATATCATTCAGTCGAAGCGGGCGGGGCAATCACTGAATATTTATAGTTAGTTTATTTATCTTTATTTTGTTCAATCATTGTAGCTAAATTTATTTTATTTTTGAACGTTCAATCTATGAAAAAAAGAATTGATAAGGTTCAAGAATTTCGACTGATATTTATCTTTATATATTTCTTCTTTCCAAATAACATTTAGCTACAATGATTAATTGAGTTAATCAATTAAATTTGAAAAAAATAAAAATCAATAATTAAACCCCTTAAAAGACCTCAAGCCCATACAAAACCCCAGCATGCTTCTCCGGTCCATCTTGAACAAAATACAAATCTCTCATCCTCTGAAACGCATGCCACGTAAGCAAACTATCCGAACCGGCTTGATGACATTTCCCAACCGCCCGGTTAACATCAAGCGTCCTAGCAACCCGGTCTAAACCGCCATACAACCTCCTCTCACAAAACTTCATCATATGCTTCACATCATACACGCGCTCACCAAACAAAACTCTCATCACGCGCTTAAACTCACCCAACGCTCCGGGCAACTCCCGGCGCGTGAGAATCTTCATCAAGTAACCGAAATCGTACGCGCTATGAAACGTCACCCAGCTCACATCCTCGTTACAAACAAGCCCCGAAGACATCATCAGCTCCGCGAACCTCTCCGAACAAACCCCGTCGCGACGGTTCCTCTCGAAATCGATACCTTGCCGACGAAGCAACTCGACCGAATCAGGCGCGTGTGCGTCACGCGCCACGTCGAAGTCTTTGAAATTAAACTCCCAGATGAACCTCTCCCGTCCTTGGCCCGGGAGGTTACCGTCGGAGTCGGAGAGAGTTAAACCGACTTGGATTAAGGCTAACGCGTCGACGTTGGATTTAAGAAGACTGTAGAGATCAGAAGGGTTTGTAAATCGGAGATCGGATTTGAAAATCACACCGGGGAACTCAGTGTCCATTGAGATGAATGGGTAATCGTCGATGATTGAGCTGATTAGTTCGAATTCTGATTCGAGATTATTTGCCCAGACTTCGCGAGTTGTGATGATGATGTTTGATTTGTTGATCGACATTTTTTGAGTTTATGAATTTTGAGGATAAGAGTGAGTGTGTGTTGTGAATATATATATATATATATAAGTCAAATCAAATGTGTTGAAACAGAGTGAGAGGAGTTGCGAGGAAGGAGACGAGAGAAACGCGTCAAGTTGGATTCTCTATGTAACGTAACTTGACTCGACTGGTCCAACTTGGCCACTCTCTCTCTACTGGGGTTGATAATTAAATTAAATGATTATCCTATATTTATTTGTAATAATTATTATTATACATTGAATATATTATATGTTGTAGTAAACATAAAATTTCGTAAATGTTACTCTTTATCCCGTTTTGCAAGTTTTTTAATGAAAATAAATACACACTAAAAACACTAGTAAAACAGAACACAGGGAATGTATATATTGGATTCAGTGAATATCCATTTTTTAGGGGAAGATTATAAATTATAATTTATAATTCATATCCAGAGCCAATGTATTTTCCTTATATTATGAAACTGAAATAGTTTAATTCACTATTTTACATGGGTTCAAGTCTTCTTTCCTTAATAAAATTAATTAAAAAAAAATTATGTTTTTTTTGTTGTTTAATATGAGAATATACAAATTGAGTTATTTGGTTGACTTGTGTGGTTGAAAATAAAAGACAAACAAAAACATATCTACAAACATTTGTAAACATGCAAAGTCACTTTTGTAGTACCAATTTTATAAACAAGTACAATAGTGCGTTTGTAAAAAAAAAAGACTTGTATTTTTTTTTGTATTAAATCAACAGGAAATAGTTAGAAAAAAAAATTATTAATCCAACTTACAACTACAAGTGGCCGATATTATAAAGAATATCATAAATCCAACAATTTTATTATTGAAGTCAATTTGAGTATTGGACAGACTACAAAAGAGGAAAGTCTCAAGTTGATGGACTTTTCAAGTGTCTTTGTGTTGCGTATGTAAATCGTGTCGTAAAGACAACTTGTGTTGTATAGTCAACAACACTTATGTTGCTATAACATGTCCTCCTTCTAGACAATACATACCAAATTCAAGCCTGATCTTTTGACTGTGGAAGCCATGTGGTAAACAGAGATCCTGAGCTGGCAAGAGAAGAGAGACTAGGTTTGTGAGAGAGGGTTATCCAATTATATTGGTGTCTTGTGTCTCATGTATGATGTATCAGTATTCTTGAAATACAAAACATAGATACACTATTACAATACAAACATCTCAACACAATAATTAAAGAGTGGTTTTACTTCAGTTATTTAGAAATGTTTTTAGCCTTCTAGGATTTGTTTCCTTTCGACCTCGATGAATTGTTTGTTGATATGATAGCTTTTTGTGGCATTTTGGGTTTCGTTTTCTCCTTTGCATCGCTGTAACTGCAGTTGAAGAGTCCTCACAAGCTCATTTAGCCTCTGGATATGTCTCTCTTGTGATATGATGATCTGTAAATAAACAGTGAACTTTGCTGTTAGATTTTGACGTTGCACCTGAGAACAACAGATTAATAATAGCCGAGCCTGATACAGAAACACACTAGATCTCATAATTTTGTAGATGGTGACTGAAAATACCTAAGTGAGAATCATCTTACGGAGCAGAGGAAGTAAATAATTATCTGAAACTAACTTGGAATGCGTTCTATAAAGATGTAAAAAGCACAAGCCTCGAACTCATATCATGTTGAGTCCGAAAGCTACAAGCTACCTAATCATTCTACCTGACTTCATTTAAACTCTCGGATTTGCAGCTATTACAAGTTTCCACTGTTGTCTAAATGTAATGTGTGATCCTAGCCATGCTACTCACTCCTGATCCACAGGACCACAGAAGTAAAAGATTGCCTCAAAATGGATTTAGTATAAATAGATTACAAAGAGGGAAATTGGCGGAGAATACATTCAGGTCAGGACTAAGCGGAAACCTGAGGTTACTCGATGAATATCAATCCAATTGGATCCTGATGGTACTCCAAAGTAAGATCAAAGACGCTATGCTAGTCTTATAAATATTCCACGTCTATCAGTTATCTTATGCAATATGCATTAGAAAGAATTATTATTCGAGATTCCATCAAGCGATCCAACCAAACAGTTTAACAAACTTTCAAAAATCTTATTGGAGAGTTAGAGACATAAAGACACAGAATCCAATCCAAGAAAACTTTTGGAATTGCAGAAACTCCCATCTGAAGTAATCAAGTGTAAACATATACCTTGGTAATGAAGACATATTCCATGACAATAAACAAAAGATTAAAAACTGATTTACCAAATGTAAAAATATGACTCTTAAAGTATCACATACCAAGCAACGGACATATGAAGGTGAAGCGTAATTATCAGGACACTAAGGTAACCACTCTACACACACACACACACAACACTTCATCTTATGTTTACAACATCTATGATATTCCAGGTCTCCTACAAAGAACTAGAACTACTAGTCTTCTAAAGGGGAACACACAGAGCACACATAAAAGAGTTAGAAACCAGTACCTTCTCTTTGACAGCTTCTTCCCTATCTGAAATCTGCTGCTGTTTCTGAGACAAGTTAGTGGCTGTATCTAACTCAACAAGTGGTTGCCTCCATTCAAACTGAGAGGTCACTATAAGTATAACTAGTAGACACACGAGCAAGATCGGCTTCGACATTGCTATATCAGTTGCTTATAACACCTGCCCCCAAAAAAAACACCAAGAAATTAGCCAAATCTATCATCCTTTTACAATATTTACTAGCATACCAACTCAAAAACACACATAAATTCAATTTGAACTACTAATCAAATCATCTTCCCAATGATATACCTATCAACTAGGGCTTAGCAGAGACAAGAGACAGCATCAACCTTAATGATCAAAATCCGATTTTTAATTAAACCCATTACTCAGCACCCACAAAAACAAAGACCCAATGAAGCGATTAAGATGATCTTGAACTTACGAATCGAATTTCACCAGAAGAATAGCCAAACTTCATGATCAATCAACCACCACCACCGTCAGGGTCTCGAATGGTGAAATTGAAAGAGATCTTTACAAAATCGAATTCGAGATCAGTTTCGATAATTAGAAAACACCAAATGAGATTTTGCGTAAGCAGAGAAATGTTAAAGATGAGGTAATATTCTGATGAATGCTCAAAGAAGAGGACTAAATGTTTTCAGGTGACTCCTACGAATTTGTTTTTCTTCTTCTTTTTGTTTTTACCAAAATTGATCGTATCTTTTAACTTATTAGTAATTTTAGCTTTAGTTCTGAGAATGGTAACATTACACCCCTGACGACATGATTCTCTCTATTTGATATTTGTACTATCAAATTAATTAGTAGTACTAGAATTTACCCGCGGTGTACGACGGGACAATTATTTTTACATTTTACTTTAACATATAAATTATATGAATTTTATTATAAGATGCGTATTTTAATATATATATTTTTTTTTTGATATATAACATTTTTCTCTACCAATTAGTATAATTATGTACTACGAAAACACATATATTTGTTTTTCTATTTTACTTTGATATTTAAATTTTCAAAATTTAGTTTTTAAGGGGTAACCTAATTTTTAGGAAGATCCATTAATATATATTTAACTGAAAAAAAGATTTAAAAAGTATATATGAATAAATCAAAGAGAATTAATAACATAACAAAAAGTTGTATATAAAAAGTAAAAAGATAAAAAAAAAGTTGTCATCTGGTTTATCAGAGGATAAATCATAGTAAATCATAGTAATATTTTAAATTTTTAATAATAATATGTACTACCATATAACCCTGTTCTATTATAGTTTGAACTTTCTATTAATTAAAATTTTTTAATTTAAATTAAATTAAAAAAATCAATTATAATATTTAAAAATATTAAAATTTAAATTTATTCTATCCAATATAATATTAAGTACAAAATCATGATTTAATCTTTTGGTTACAGATTAAAGTCAGAAATGAAGAAAATGAGCATATAGTAGAAGTCAAAACCCCCTAAGATAACGATGTTTTGGACTAGTGGAAAAAGACATATTCATACATAACCACAAGATAACGTTGGATTCACACATTAAATGAGACTACATATATGCAATAGCATTGCTCTTATGGGTTCAAAATGAATTTTTATAAAGATATAAAATCTGCCTGAAACAGAATTACATATCTCTCGATAGCCTAATGTTGATATACTCGGTGCACATAGATACTACAATATAAATATAATGGAGAGAATGATACCACAAACTAGCTAAGCCTAACACAAGTAACAAAACATTTCTCTCAACATCAAAACAGAACCAAGTAAAATGCCTAGAAGATCTTTTCATTAAACCTCACACTAGATAAAACACCAACACGGCTATCATGACCAGCACCCAAGCTACAACGTCCCATCGTGCTCGGTTTATAGACTTAATCGAGTAGATACCGATAAAGCAATTTGACATGGATATGTTGTTCTCTTCTCCAGTGTCATTTTGTAATGGCAGTTTCTGTAGCAATGATTGCATTTGTATGTCTACCATGTTTGGTAAAGGCAGTACTCTTGTGGTGTTGGACTCTGCTTGAAGCCTTGGCACATTGATTAGTGTATTACCGGAGACCGCTGGATCATCTAGCTTTACTATTTCATCCCTCAGTATATCCGCATAGAAATCTTCTTCACTAGGAACCTTAAAATATGAAAAAGATCATGGGAATCAGATCATGAATCTAAACATAATTCATTTGGTGTATGAACCATGTCGACTCGCAATAACATACCCGTAAAACAGGTGATACATATATAGAACTACTCAACTAAATAAAAGAGGACCAACCTGTGGATTTTGTGAAGATTGTGAAGATTCTGCTATCTCACTAAGTAGTTCCTGCCCTGACTCACTTGACAAGTAAAAATCAACCATATTTTCCCAATCAGATATACTTTCTGAGATAGCGTCATTCTGCGTGTTTACGTGCTTTTCAGGTAATGTATTTGGCTGTGGTGACTTTTGAATTGTAGCTCCTTGAAATTCAGTATTCCTCCTAAGTCGGCAAATAACTAGAGCATCCTATATAACACTTGAGAAATTCAATAAACATAACAAGATCCTAATTTCTAGTTAGTCGTTTCGATATACTATTTGTGCGCGAAGAAAACATCAAAAATACCCGAAAATAGTTTACCAGTGACACTCCAATCATGCAGTACTCATGCATAAGCCATTCGGTCCTTCCGCCTTTTGGCGCACGGCCAATGTGGAATACAAGCGTTCTCTTAGTTCCAATCACCTCGGAACCTGACTTCACATTACGTTCTTTCCCTGTGGCTTTCCAATATCCCATCTTGGTTGCTCTTCTATTCTGTGAACCGTGGGGATACTTCTTACCACGAGCACAAAAAAAGAACCATTCGCTGTCAGATTTCACAATTGACTTATCTGCGAAAAAGATTTCGAAAATCTTGGTTATTTTCAAGAGAAGAATAAAAAGAGTAGAGAAACATAAACTTATCTCAGACAATATAGACATGAAGATTTCGTTGAACAAAGCCAACAAGTACCTCAATTGTCATAGGCCTGAACTTGTTTACGCAAATATAAAATTACATTCCATGTCAACACTTACAAATGAAAGAGCAGTTTGTAGCGGTTCAACCCACAAAAGAGATAACTACAAGTAGGAGCAAATCAGGTATACACATCAAGCAAACATTGAAACACAAACGGTACTTTCATTACTCTGTGCATTTAACTAATGTCATATCAAACAAGGTACTAACACAAACCAAGCCATCACATCTTCAAACCAATATACCAGTCTAAGAAAATAAAACATTGTACCAACACTGTAACCCCATATTCATAAAATTTGACATCCTTAAAACACTATAACTTCTATTCTGATACACTAATTCCAAAAAAAACTCTTAGAAACTAACCATATGACTAGAGCTTAACTGGAAACATGGACATAGAAACATAAGTAATAAGTACCCTTCACAGTCCAGGAAACTTCTAGAATCGTATACAAAATTCCCAAGAAAACAATACTACCAAATAGTACCAATTAAAGAGGATGAAACTTACCAAACATGTCACCTAAACTTCAACATGTGACATATATATATATATACCACCCTAATTAACTTCACATGAACTCGAGATTCAATAAAATTCACAAGAATATTTCCCTAAAAATGCTAAAATCAATACCAAATTTGTGACCAAAAGATCCATTTTAAGCAACCTAAGCTAGTAGCAATATTTTATAACCAAAGTCCCATAACCCCAAAATAGTAAGGACTATACAATTTGTTTTTCTTTGTCCTTCCGACAAGAATAACCTAATCTTAAAACTAACGAACTTGACAAAACAAAAAATTACAGAACAAGAACACACTTAAACTATGTAAGAAGAACAAGGGCAAGTGAAAGAAAACAAACCAGGTAAATCCCAAGGCTCGAAGTTGTAAATCTCAACCTCAGGTATAATCTCAACAGACCTCTCCAAACCATCTATCTTCCTCTTCAAGTAATAAGTAATAAGCTCGATGTCTGTCGGAGAGAATTTGAAGCCAGGGAACATCGTCGTCACCGCCGGCTCAACCGCTGCAGCTGCCATATGTAAAAAAAAGATTAGTGAAGAAAGAGATCAAAGAGAGTCTTTTCTTTCTCCTTCTTTCTTTCTCCTTTGGCTTCTAAAGAAACTGAGAAGTCACATAAGAAGAAGGAAAAAAAAAAACAATTTGTCTTGGGAATTGGGAACAAGACTCGTGAAGAAGACAATACAAAGGTGATGATCGAGTGCTTTGCTCACTTATACTTACACTTACACCTAAGTTTCGGTTTTATTATTTTTTCTCCACAGGTGTTACTTGGGTACTGAAATATTTGCGTATGACTACCACGTCACTGCTTTTGCTCAAATCTCACTTTATTAAACTAGAGTATATAATTAGACAATTCTTTATACTGGTTTAATATTATATTAATAGTGATGTTACTATAATTATAGTACAATTTATATTAATAATATTTTACAAGTCTAACATTTATTGGGTTTTACTATAAAAAAAAATTAAACCATAATTAAATTTGGATACTTGTTAAGATAATTTTCAACTTACTCGAATTTATATGCAAGTTATTATTTATAATATGATTCTAAATTGTTGTCTAAAAATTTTAGTTGATGTGGCCGTCAAATACATATAGTTCCTTCATTAATTGACTGATATATATTTGTTTTAAAACATTTGAATTACAAGATATGTTGGAATTATTTTTAGATCTTTATTAATTTTCTGTATTATATGATTATTCAAAGAAATTAAAAAAAATCAAACAAACATGATATGAGAACTATAATTTTAAATTTTACTAAAATTTTCGAAATCATTTATATTATTAATTGTGAAACTACATTATATGAATATTTTAATTGATTAGTGATATAATTTTAATTGTATTTGGTTTGTTAATGGATAACTTTTGGAAGCTGATTTTAATGAATTATGGATTTCTCTCATATCAGAAGAGAAATATAAGTTGCTGTTTTAATTCAATCAAATTTAAAAACTTTGTTGACAAAAAAAAAAAGTTTAGAAACTTTGATAAACTATCCACACATTGCAGAGCCGTCCATGGCTACAAAGTAAGTCAAACACAAGCTTGCGACCTTGTAAGTGCATAATCTTTTGAGATAAAAAGTTTTGGGTTCGATCCTCCTCAAATATATATTTTAATTTATTTTACCTTCTTAATAAATCAACAACAGTTAGAGCATCTCTATTGGTTAAACAAGTGTAGTGTCTTTACTTCTATTAAAAGAATAAGGCCATGAATGTTTGGGAGATTTTAAGCTGTTTTTGAATTATATATTTTAGTTTTTAGATTATAGATTTTAGTTTTTAGGTTTTAGATTCTGCAAAATAAAAATAAAAAACAAAAACAAAAAAATTAAAAATTGTTACGTAGCATACATCTCAAAAATCCATTGAAATGAGATTTTGGATTTTGTTAAAAATATAGTAAAATCTATAGGAATCTAGATTCACTATTATTTAGGAAAACTACTTTTCATAAACTCTTGAATGGCTAGAAAATGGATTTTTGGAAAATCTAAAACTAAAAACTATTTGAAAAACTACATCCAATCAAGGCCTAAATGATAAAGCATAATTATATTTAAACCAATAAGAAAATGTCATGTGGTAGAAAATGTCTTTAAGAGAAGTGGTTAGACCACCTCCAAAGGGAGGAGCTTATTGGACCTCTAAGTAATTAAAAGGCAAAAAATAAAAATTAAATGAGTAATTAACTTAAGGGGCAGTCTTAAAGTAGCATGCATAAGTAGAGATGCTTATGCACACGTGGCAAAATATGATAAGTCATGTAAAAATATTTTTTTTTTCTTTCCCTCTCTATCTTTTTTTTTTTTTTTTTACAGAACAAACTCTCTATCTCTTTCTTCTTCTTCTCTGGTAGGTCATATAAAAATATGATAGGTCATGTAAAAATAAATATATTTTTTTAGAAGTTCACCATTACAGGTTCACCATTGGAGCAAGAAAACAAAACATCTTTTAAAAGGTTTACAACTTTAATTTAATCATAATTTTTTTAAAAAATATGACTAAACCCCCAAAATAAGCATCTCCCTTTGGAGATGCCCTTAGAGCACTCACAATGGTGATTTTTTGGGGTGTCTAAATTGGGTCTTAAAAATAAAAAAAATGTGGATTAATTAATTTTGAGTCCAATTTTAGACACTTATTTGTTAAAAGTGTCTTCTATAACACACTTTTGCTGAAATTAGACACTTATGTGTTTTAAAAAAATAAAGTAATTGTTTTAGACACCTATTAAAAAGTTCACCATTGAACATGCCCTTAGTGTCTTCTCTTAGACACTCTTTTCTCCCCTCTCTTCAAAATGTCTTTAAGTTTATATTTAAAAAATGGCTAAAGACACCCATAAAATGACTAAAGTGGCAATCCTAATACAAGGGCTAATTGGTTTTGTAAACCAAAAATAAAATAAAAAAATAAAAAGGAAGCCCATAATTAAAAGAATCGATCTCTTTTTAGGCAATGGAAGAATCGATCCTCTCCTTTTGTAGTATAAGTAACGTATATTGCTATTATATTATTTTAATTTAATTTTTATAATTAATTTAATTATAAGCATTTTTTGTAGGTTTCTTTAGTGGAGCTGGTCTTAGGTGGGCTAAAATAAAATTTATTATGGCCACCTAATCTTATTGACGGCTCTGATACAGTGTTAGTCCGCTTGGACTAGTTATTATGTTCTTTAGAATTTGCCACATGAAATTTTGTATGCTTAAAGTTTTCAGATTTGTACTCACGTATGTACACATACTAATTTTCTAATGAAAATCATATGCTTTATTGAGATATATTATCTCAAATCAGTAAAAGAATTATATTTTCTCAATGTCAATATCTTCTTTTTATATATATAAATAACTTAATAAAAGGGTGTATATTAGACTAGATAGTTTAGTTTGGTGAATGTTAAAGATGCTTAGTTGATTTCTTGGTCACTTTTTTCTTATCTTTAAGTTATTGCCAACAATTTGAACCAAGAATAACATTTTTGAACAATCCTTCAGCTGTTGTGTGAATCCTAGTAAAAATACAGGCATTTCTCTCATTCCAAACACAAAATACAACTAGCCTGAGTTTGAGATTTAAGACAAGATAGGAAACGAGGCCATGTGTTTTAACCCATGAAGTGAAACTACAGTTTTGATAGACACCCAAGTCCATTCGTCAAAACTGTAAGGACATCTCCGGAAAAAATAATCGATGTATTCACCAAGCACCATAAATCACATAGAGGAAACAAGTCTCATTGACTCGACCCTATTCCAAAAGACCAAAGCCATATTGTAATTAAACCCGACTATTTATACAAAGCACACCAATTATTTAACTACCAAAGAAATTAATAAAAACTAAGATGGTAATAAAATTGTTACAAAGCACACCATCATCAAGGAATCAACCAATAGTAAATGAGAAATCAGATGGTAATAAACACTATAAAATCTTTCAAATCTCTTTTTTTTTTTTTTGTTAACTGGTATCAAGATGATAAGATGATTCCTACAAAAAAAAATGACAAGATGCAGAGCAGGCCTATGGGCCAAGCTGATGAAGCTTGCGGCCCTTTATATAATAATATATATATATAATTCGTTTTTTTTTTTTTTGAAAAATCTTTTTAGTCTAGCAGTATAAATAGTGCAATTTAGGTGTGATACAACAAGATTCGAATCACAAGCATATATAAAACCAGCCTTTCAGTATTTTTAGACTGTGGCTTTCACAAATTAAGAGACGGTTCTGAGTTAAAATGGTTTGGGGTCCGAATAGTGTCAGCATATTTGACTATGCGGGAGAAGCGATTTTGATATACAGTACAGTTCAACCCAATAAAAGTGAGAAATCATTGGAGTTCCTCAAACAAACCTTTATCCCAATTATTTTGTAATTTCTTACGGCCCCCTACACGTGATTTGTACTTGTGGGATTTGTCAGTTTTGGGTAGTCTTTTCATATTTTTGAACCATGTGTTAAAAATCTAGTGGTAATGAAAAAGTCCTACAAATTAGTATTTACATACATTCAACTTATTAGATAAGGTTATGATGAGACTCTTTAACAAGAAAGATAAGATGATCACCATCTCTAAAAAAGGAATTATATACATAGAGAAAAATAGTAAGACATTTAAAACCATTCCTTTCCAACTATGACATTTTATTTCCTTAAAAACCGAAACAAGAACAAATGAATCAGGCGGAGAATCCCATTTCAATTCTCTTCTTTACACAAAAAACACCATTGGTAAGGAAAAAACACGTGAACTAAACTAGTACTAGTACTGGTCCATCCACCTCATTGCATTCCCCACCACTGGTTAAATCGTGTCCTTAGAAACGTCTCAAGTAGGTAATTAAAACTCAACCTAACTAGTACCACACACTAAACAGCTCTCTCTCTATATATATATATATATATATATCTAACTATCCCCTCTCTCTAGTGTCATTGAAGTAAAACAAAAGGTTTTGAGTTCATAGAAGAAATGTCATCAACTGTCAAGAACACAGCTGATCGGGTTGATGGCGTTGCCCCGTCCTCCATCGTTCGAGTTACCATCGTTCAAGCTTCCACCGTGTATAACAATACTCCTGCCACTCTAGGTAAGTTTTAATCATTCTTTTTTTTTTTTTTTGGTTTGTAATGATAAGGAGTAAGGAAGAAACCTGACTGATATGAGAATGTTCAGACAAGGCTGAGAAGTATGTTGTGGAGGCAGCAAGCAAAGGAGCTAAGCTGGTTTTGTTCCCTGAGGCTTTTGTAGGAGGTTATCCACGAGGGTTTAGGTTTGGTTTGGCTACAGGAGTTCATAACGAGGAAGGTCGTGATGAGTTCCGCAAGTATCATGCTTCTGCTATTAAGGTTCCTGGTATGATCCGACGACAAAACTTTTCTTTTTTAAGCAATCAATTATTTTGGACAAAAAACCTGAATTATTTTTGTGTTTTATCTTCAAGAACAGTAACACTAGTATTTTTTCCTAGTACAAGTTCATATACACCACCCGATCTCGGATCCAATCCTATTTGGTAATAGGATCCGACAAAACCGGATACTTGATACAAGTCACTCTTCATATATATGTTTGTATGATAACTTATTTATGATTTTTACTCTGCTACAATTAATATTTAATTTATTTTTCTAATTTGTCAACGAAATCTTTTATGATGTTTAGTAATTTAGGAGATTTCGTAATAAAGTATAGAGATATTTTTTTTGTTTTTGTTTTTTTGGTGTGGACTGGACCATATGTTAACTTCTGTATATATTTTTGTTGTCTTATTAAATTTCTCCTTTATTTGGTTATGTGATACTTGAATTTATTTAACTCGGAACAAAGTAAAGAAAATAAAATTAGTTTTGAGGAAAAAAATAATTGATCTGAGTTCTTTGTTTTTATCACTATTTGATGAAATTAATTTGCAATAGTGAGTGTTACAGCTCTAGTTTATTTGAGCACTCTTAAAAGCTTGGGACACAAAATGACTCTTTCTTGCTTGGTTCTTGTGATGAATCTATAGGTCCTGAAGTAGAAAGATTGGCTGAGTTGACTGGGAAAACTAATGTGTACTTGGTAATGGGGGCGATAGAGAAGGATGGGTATACACTCTATTGCACAGCCCTTTTCTTTAGTCCACAAGGTCAGTTTTTGGGTAAGCACCGTAAACTCATGCCCACAACTTTGGAACGTTGCATTTGGGGTCAAGGGGACGGATCAACCATCCCCGTTTACGACACTCCTATTGGGAAACTTGGTGCTGCTATTTGCTGGGAAAATAGGATGCCCCTATACAGAACTGCCTTGTACGCTAAAGGTCAGCTTTTAATGCAATGTATTGTGACACATATTAAAAACCATTAGATGTATGATTTTTTCTAACAATTATCGATTTTGGCACGAAGGTATTGAGATCTATTGTGCACCTACTGCTGATGGTTCGAAAGAATGGCAATCGTCAATGATGCATATTGCGCTAGAAGGTGGATGTTTCGTGTTGTCGGCTTGCCAGTTCTGTCTGCGTAAAGACTTTCCTGACCATCCTGATTACTTGTTTACCGACTGGGAAGACTACAAAGAACATGATGCTATTGTCTCCCAAGGTGGAAGTGTCATTATTTCACCTTTAGGACAGGTTCTTGCCGGACCAAACTTTGAATCAGAGGGTCTCATCACAGCTGATCTCGGTATATATATTTTTCGACATTCATCTAAGGATATAAGAACTGATTAATTTTTAAGGCTATATATAACGTTCTATTTCTCATACAGATCTTGGTGATGTAGCGAGAGCCAAGTTGTACTTCGATGCGGTCGGACATTACTCGAGACCAGATGTGTTACACTTGACCGTAAATGAGCACCCAAAGAAAACGGTTACATTCATGACTAAGGTGGAGAAAGCTGAGGATGACTCAAACAAGTAATCAAAATCTATAATTCATCTCTGGAAAGTTTATGTTCAATCATATCATGGAGGAGTCAAGTTCTAAAATGTTCTGATGTTTATGTTAAGGTTTCTTTATGTTTTTCTTCAATAATATAAGAGATCACCATGCTAGACACATGGTAAGATCTATCTTGTGTGATATTAAACCAATTTGGTTCTATCGTCTTGTATTAAAACATTGTACCATTATGTTTTATCCAATTTAAGTGTTGATATCTCGGATGTGCTATAATGTTTTTTTTTTTAAACAATCAAAGAGGTTATGGGACAAAATCCATACATCCTCTCAGACCCGAAACCAAAGCATGTTATGTGGTTTCGTCCTAAGCGCTTCTCGAACCGGCGATGTCCAAACTATAATGTTTGCATTTGTATGTTAACGGTTGATAAAGTCAAGACTATTTAATTTGGCCATCAACTCTAAATGTGAGTTTGAAAAGTCACTAAGAATTACTTAACTATTGCTACATGGCTACATCAACCAGATAGGATAATGATGGCTAACCAAAACCAGAGAATTCAAACCACATATAGGGATTTATAATTAGTGAGTTACACGACAAGATGTGCAATTTTATGGACGTAGTTCTTGTGTCGTCAATAGCTGCCGTTGTCATTAGCCATCGACGTCACCGCTCACCAGTCACCACCATCTTCGACCACTTCTGCTGTCATATCACCGTATTTAAAAGACTACCTCGATTGGTGAATTGATGGAAGGGTTCGATGTCTTTAAAAAAAAATTAAAATTAAATTAAAATCATAAACACTCGTTCTGTTTTATAGATTTATAGACATTTTAATATCTTCTCTTTTAGCTAGACACTCATATTAAACTAATAATAAAATTATTTATATAAAATGTTTTAGATACATATATTCGGTATTACCAGTAAAAATGTTCTAAAGTTTTGAAGTTTAAGAGAAACAAAGAAAGTTAACTAAATGATAATCGAGTAATCTTATTGAATTTAGCTGTATTTTTATTGTTTTATGGCTGAATTTAACTAGATGGTAACATCTCAATATAGCTGTTTTTTTTTCTTTTGTAATTTTTGACTAATCTAACAAAATAATTAAGACTTTAACTGAAAATATATCGTCAAATAATTATGAATATTAATCAAATAACTAGAAAATAAATCTAATGGTCTAATTAACCTTTATACTAAATAAGTACTCAAAAATTACCTGAATTAAAACTAGTATAAATAATTTATTTGTTAGCAGAAATAGTAAGTTACTCTCCTATTTTTAATTTTTGAAATTTGGCAAAGCATTACTGAAAAATTAATTTCAAAAATTAATATGATAGTAAAATTTTAGAATTTTACTTTTTAGTAATTTAATTAATAATATGATGAAAGATGAGTAAGAAAAACATTACTATAATCTTGATATTTTAAAGTAATACGCGGTTGGATCATGTCAACTTAATGACCTGATGACTCAAGATATATTCTGATTAACTTTTTGAGTCGATTTTTAAAACATTTATGATCTCATCATATATCAATTTAAATACATGTAAATTATTTAATATTGGGTTTGATTGGTAACATACTCAAAATTGTACAAAAAATGTAAAATGGAACGGTAAGTTCTTACAAAATAGTGTAATATTGTAAAGAAGAGTGGTACATAAAAGATGTACAAACAAAATAAAGAGTAAAAATTTTAATTAAATATTTGGGTAACGCTTTTTTTATTGACAAAAATTAAAACTAAACCACTTTGTACATCTTTCTCTTCTTCACTAATTAGAACCATTAAACTTAAATAAAAATTGTTCTTAAATTTGTTAAACTCGCATCATCATGATATCTGTGAAGTCACAATTGTGACAGAGAATGCTTAGACGTTGAAGCTTGGATTGTATTTTGAATTCTATAAAAAAATAACATATATATGTTAGTGTATAGAAAATTTAAAATGCATGTAACTTAAGGAAAAAAAATACCTTTGCAACAAAAAAAAGATTAGAACACGAGAGAGAGAAAGAAGAAGTGTGAGGTGTGAGAGTGTTGTGAAGTGTAGTTATATAGAAAAAAAAAGGTGTTTTTTGAGTTACTATCTTATTAAAAAAATAAAAATATATAAAACACAGATAAAACACATCAAAAGAAGCGTGCACAACTTCCCCCAAAGATTTCATGTCTTTTTCACAAAAAGACAAAAAATAAATGAACTGCATACAGCTTTTTTGGTTTTGTTTAAAAAACATAAAAAAAGGTGAATGGTGTCTCGGTAACAGGAGATCTACACGCATGGGTCAATTGCTTTTTTCCTGTCTTCCTTTTCAAAGCTTTAGAGAAAGCATATGCTAAAAGGCATGTTAGTTAATATCATGCTCATATTTTGTGAGAAAAGTTTCCTTAGTTAATATCATGCTCATATTTAGTAGAAAACCTTCCTTGTGGCTCTTGACCTGTTACTTATGCTTAATTTCAAGTCTCGTTTCATATGAACTTTGATTAACATCTTCTTAAAGTTCATTAGTATTTATTTATCAAAGAGAGAACAAAAATATTCCAACGATCTCATAGTTACTCGCATAGTTTGCTTTCCTCTTGGTTTAAACCTTTCAACAATGGACCACCTTGCTTGCCTTAATTTGTTATACAAGAACCCAAACATGTTTTAAACTTAACTATTGGTTGGGTTGGGAACCACAAGTACCCAAGATTAATGTTCAGGATTTGGTCCAAACAAAACATTAATTGAGGAAAAATAAAAAGACAAACAATAATTTCATTAGGAGACTTTGAAAGAAAACAAAACCAAAAAAGACATCATTCGTTGTCGCATTGATTTGATATCACACATTATCACGTGCACAAACGAATCCATCATCAAACAGTCTCTTGATCTCTACACAATCAAGAGATCAGGTCATCGAATCTGTAATTTCTTGGTCTCCTAAAAGTTTTGGGGACATATCTATAAGAAAATTTTCTACTTGCCTTTTAACTCATCATTGACTTACGAAATTTAATTGAGGAATAATTTAGAATAAACCATAGAGAGTCTTCCATTTAAAATCTCGAATATTTGTATATATTTTTTATATTCTAATGTGAAAAAACAACACAAAATACATTTAATATTGACAAAACAAACTGACTTAGTTACTCCTTTTTGTTGAAAAATATATTTATACTTGTTTCTTTAATAAACTCAAAATATGTTAAAGTTGTATCTTGATCGTAACCTATAAATCGAATTTTTGTTATAAGTAACCGAAGTTGCGATGAACCATCGATAAAAGAAAAAAATAAACCTTACAAAGAAGAGAACACAGTTAGACAAGATCTCTTCCTATATGTATATGCCAATGTATTAAGATTGAATTGTGTCTTGATTCTTGGTAAACTAGTACTATATTATAGTGTTTCAAATTCATTTCTCTCTTTTGTTTTTTAATGCATCAAGATGGTTTTGAGATACTGTTAATTTGACAGAGTAAACTAATATAGTATGGTGTATAAAATCTTTGGACTACCCTAAACAAAAACCTTTTGTCGTTCCTATTATTTTGTTAATTGTTGTACGGCTTCCTATAAATTAACGTCATCAAAGCTTCTTGATTGCTTAACGTTCTTTTGTTGTGATTTGTAAGAAATTTAGGATTTGTATGGTTACTATAGTGAAGATGAAAAAATTTGTTAGCTGTTTAGTTATTTTTTTTGAATTTAATGTTAAATTATATTAAAAAAAAAATAGCATTGTTATAACTAGTGCATCAGATAGTTTAAAAACTGCTGATAGAAAATAAATTGATAAATAAATTCAAACGAAAAAAAATTAAATCCTAGATTGAAACACAGCTCAAGGCCTTTGTCATAACATGGACAAGAATTCAATTTGTATGTAAAAATAATTTCTAATTGCTTTGCAGCAGTTTATTTTTTCTGTTTTTGTTAGATACGCACTAATATAGATATATTTCGTGAATACTAAATATAAAAAAGTCTGATCTACTCACATATTTATCCATTTTAACCTCTAGAATTATTCAGATCTTTAAAAAGAAAATAAACAAAGTTTTTTTATAGAAATTTCGTATACATGTTAAAAGGTAAAGAAATTACAAAACTTTGACTTTCATAAATTCAGTTTAAAATAAAAACCACCAGACAAAAAAAAAAGTCTTTTTCATTAGTGGTCCTATAAAAATTATTAGATACCATGGCGATACTTTAATAAAAGGATAGGGTAATGAGAAAAGAAAACTAAAGAGAAGAAATCAAATATTACGTATTAAGAATTTACCATGAAACTTATCAAATAGCATGGCGAGGCTTTAAATTAAAAACAGATAGATTATGACTCAATAAAAAAAAGAAAATTATAAGTTTTACGTAATAAAAAAAAAAACGAGTTATCCGGATCAATTCTTGTAAATATTACTAAAATGAGTTTCCAAATATCTTATTATTAGTTTATTTTAAAAAATTTTAAATAAACCATATTTTTTGAAAAGTACTACAAAGTACAAACCAAAAACTAAACTTTCAACACTAAAAAAAAAAAATCTTAAATCCTAAACACTAAAAATTTCATCCCTAAAACTATAGTATAACTAAAATAGTCAATTCAAACAAAAAAAAATTACACCTTGAAAGTTAGTTTTTTTGTTTGTGATATTTTTGAAAAAAAATAAAAGGTTTGTAGTATTTCTGAAAAGAAAAAAGTCATAATAGTGTTTTTAAAAAAGACTTAAAACATTGTATTTTAAGGAAATTTTGGATAATTGTATCTCCGTAACCCGCCACCTTCCTTAATAGACTCATGTTCGTTCTCTGCCAGCATATCCACTTTTATCAATTCTACAAATAACTGTGTAATTTTTTCGTACCTTTTCTTTACTCGTACCGTTCCGACAATTAGAAAACTACTCAAAACAACTCTAATTTTCTTCGGTATGTTTTATTAAAAGATTAATGTACTAAAATAATATATAGACAATCAAATCAATTTTTCTAACCTCTTTCCATAGATGACCATATCTCTTGAAACCAAGACTTTACCACAATTAAATTTAAATTAACAAAACAAGAGTATACTATTATATCATATCAAGCAGAAGATCTCATTTACGTTTCTTCTTTCTTTCATATTAACCCATTGGTAAGCAAAAGACCACGTAAACAGTGGCCTACCTAATTGCATTTCCACCACGTATTCAAAAATTCGAACGTCGTTACCATATCAAGTAGGAATATAAAATTGTCAAAAGAAAGAAACCAAAAAAGTCTATATATTTGCTTCAAAAGTCTCTCTCATTGTCACCACATCGTAAAACACACAAACATAAAGTTAATATGTCTACTACCGAAGAAATATCAACCGTCAAAAACACAACAACTCCGGTCGACGGCGTTGCTTCATCCTCCACCGTCAAGAACACAACTCCGGTCGACGGTGTTGCCCCATCCTCCATCGTCCGAGCTACCATCATCCAATCCTCCACCGTCTATAATGATACCCCTGCCACTCTAGGTAAACTTATAACCAATAAATTCTTCATTCCCCTTTTTTTTGTCCATTAGTCGGGTTCGGCTAATTCTATCCGAACCCGACTAAATCTTTCGGACATATAAAATGTTATATTCTTGAATTTGTAGACAAGGCGGAGAAGTTTATTATCGAAGCGGCCAGCCAAGGAGCCAAGCTAGTTTTGTTCCCGGAAGCGTTTATCGGAGGTTACCCTCGCGGGTTTAGGTTTGGTCTAGCGGTCGGAGTGCACAACGAGGACGGTCGTGATGAGTTTCGCAAGTACCATGCTTCCGCTATCAAAGTTCCTGGTAATATTACTTACTTCTATGTTTATGATGTCATCATTGACCATTCTATGTTTCATTATCTTATCTTATATTTTATATATAAAATGAAACATTTTAATACATTTTTTTACCAGTCAATAACTTCCAACAAAAAGTGCTCAATTATTTTGTGTTTATCAAGAAATCCAAATAAAAGGACATCAATCTTATCGGGTCCAAAATTTAGAATATACAAATATTATTTCATGATCCGGGAAGATCGGATCCATATGGTTTCAGTGTATAAAGTACTCTTCAAATATCTCTGTTACTCATATTTTTGGCAACATATGATAAGTACTCTGTTACAATTATCTAATTAATTTTTCTTTCTGTCAACAATTTTTTTTTATATGATGTATTGAGATTACGTTATTACAAAATTATATGTTTTTGATGTTTTACTTTGGCAACTTATGGTTGTTGATGGACTATGATTTTTATTTGGTTATGTTGTTGGATATAGTTGGAGTCTTCGAGTTCTCTGTTTTTGTCTCTATTAGAGCTGAAATAAGTTTTGAACAAGTATTAGTAAGTGTTATATACACTTAGGTCACAAATGACTATTTCTTGAACATTTTTGTTGTGGTTCTTGTGATGAATGTACAGGCCCGGAAGTAGATAGATTGGCTGAGCTGGCCGGGAAACATAATGTGCACTTGGTAATGGGGGCGATAGAGAAGGATGGGTATACACTTTATTGCACTGCCCTTTTCTTTAGTCCTCAAGGTCGGTTCATGGGTAAGCATCGTAAAGTCATGCCTACATCTTTGGAACGTTGCATATGGGGTCAAGGGGACGGATCAACCATCCCCGTTTACGACACTCCAATTGGCAAAATCGGTGCTGCGATTTGCTGGGAAAATAGGATGCCCCTATACAGAACTGCATTGTACGCAAAAGGTCAGATTTTACGATATAAATGTGACACATATTGAGTCCTATATATATATCTAGCTTTTAATGTAAGTTTCCCTAACAATTTTTGGGTTTTGGCAAGCAGGAATTGAGATTTATTGTGCACCTACTGCTGATTATTCTTTGGAATGGCAAGCGTCGATGATTCACATTGCGGTCGAAGGTGGATGTTTCGTGTTGTCGGCGCACCAGCTCTGCAAGCGCAAAGATTTCCCTGACCATCCTGATTACGCGTTTAATGAAATAGCAGACGAGAAACATCATGATCCTACAGTCTCCAAAGGCGGAAGTGTCATTATTTCACCTTTGGGAAAGGTTCTTGCCGGACCAAACTATGAATCAGAGGGTCTCATCACAGCTGATCTTGGTATATATCATTGATATTCATCTTAAACTATAGAAAATATCAACTTTTTGACCTAATAAATATCGTTAACACTTTTTTTCTCATCCAGATCTTGGTGATATAGCAAGAGCCAAGTTATATTTCGATGTGGTCGGACATTACTCAAAGCCAGATATTTTTAACTTGACTGTAAATGAGCACCCAAAGAAACCTGTTACATTCATGACTAAGGTGGAGAAAGCAGAGGATGACTCAAACAAATAGTCGAAATTCGTAATTCGTCTACTGGAGTACTTAAGCCATGTTATATAATGGATTCTAGTTCGAATTGTTTGGTTGAATTTTAAAAGTTTATATTAAAGCTTGTTTTATCTTTCTCTTCAATAATGTAAGATTAACTCATTGAAAATGGTTAAGATCTATGTTGTTTGATAACTCTTCCTCTTATATATGTTCAAAGGTTGTACCATTAAATTTTTAATCTAATTTGAGTGTTGTTGAATCATAGAAAGTCAACACTACATACCATTCAAGTCTAAAAGTGAGTTTGAAAAGATTGGATCATGATAGCTAACCAAAACAAAAGTCTAAATCATTCGAACTTGGCAGTCTGATCTCTGTCCTAAAAGTGAGTTTGAAAAGTCACTACTAAATTATTCAACTGTCGTTAGCAGAATCAGATAGGATAATGATGGCTTAACCAAAAACCAGGAGATCAGAATTAGTGAGTTGGACAAGATATGCAATTATTCTTCTCTTGTCCCACAACTTGGTTGTATAAGTTATGTTACATAGACCACTTCAACAATAATGGTTTTGTCCCTCCCATGGGTTTAATTATAATCCAAAATCACTTAACGTGGTTAGTTTATACTAATCTACTATTAAGAACCACTTCATTTTACATTTACCAGATTTAGGAGAGCATGTAAAAATTCATAAAATGTTTGATATAATTAGCAAGAAGAAACATATACATGCAATGAGAAAATGGACCAAAACTCCAAAGAGCCTGAAAAGAAATTACATGCAATGAGATTATAACATGAGTTGAGATGATATAAAAAAACTTAGGAAGCATAAGTTTTTTTTTTTTCAGATATTGAGAGACAAGATCAGAGACAAGATCAGCCCATTCAATTGTCCCCCACACCTTGCTTTCCGGGGTTCTCTTTAAGGAAATCTCCGCGCACCAAAGCTCCAACCTTTTTGTACTAGTAATAAGAAACTTGTCCGGACCAGGATACCTCTTCTTCTCAATTCTAGGGATATGCACTTTCCAAAAGACCACAATGTTCCCACGAGAGTTGCTACTTAGTTTGCTGAAACCATTCGTCCAGTGGACCTTCCACGCGATATTTACATTCTCAGCACAGTACTTCCCATTCAAAGCAAATACACTGGTCTGAACAACATCCAAACCCATTAACTCCTTCCAATTCAACTCATCTGGCTCACACCACATTATTTTCCCGCGAGTACCACAACAGTATAACAGTTTCCCTATAGCACAACAGTCTTTTCTGTTTCCCCGTTTAGAATCTTGATTACCTCTTCTCCATATACCTTCACGTGGAAGGTAACAAAAACTTTGATCCTCCTCGTCTACAACATAAACTTTATCTCCCACCACCAAACTTTTGTCAATTATACTTGTGTTCTTGCGTATCTTCGGATCCTTAGGTAATGGCAAGGAGTCACACGTTTGTGTCTTTGGATCAAAAACCTCTACCAGTTTGATCACGCGTGCGGCAGAGATCATGCGAAACAATAAGAGAGCGGAGGCTCTTGGAGGTTAGAGACAAGACCGCACGGTCATATCTCGAGAGGCGGGAAAAGTAGTTCAGAGCAACATCGTGTGGCAGCAACAATAACCTAGACTCCGACAGAGACAGAGACGCCTCCTTCTTCTGCCTTTTATTCTGTGGTGGACCGTTGTAAGTCTGTAACTGGACATTTGAGTCACAAAACAAACACTTTTAACTGCTCTGAAGATCAAACCTAGCTCACAAGCAACAGTTTTCTTCTGTGTTATGTTGTCCTTCTAGATGAATTGTGGAGTTGAGAGTTTTTTTTTTGGTTTCGGTTCTCAAGTAAAAAGGTTTACACAAGAACAACTTTGATAAAAGCTCTTTTTTGGTTTTGTAACCACACATATTGCGTTAATCTAGAGATGTGGGAGAAAAGAAAGAGAGATTTTAAGAAACCCTAAACCCTTTAAAAAGATCAGTCTCATCCTTTGTGTTGCTGTCGAGATCATCATCACATCGGGTTGCTCCGTAATCGCCGTTCATTCTAGAGAAGGTGGAGATCGTGTTGTTATTGTGTGTGTTGGGTCTACACAGTCACAAAGGTGTTGACTTTCCTCTGTAACAAGACCAATAAACCTCAAAGAACTTCTAAAGAACCCTTCACTGACTAATAGACTCACTCTGTAACTTCTAAGCTAGAAAGAAAAGGATACCAAAGTTTACGCTTTTACACTCTTCTCTCAATATCTCTCTGTTCTTGTTCTTCTTGTGTTACTCTCTCTCTCAAGCTTTAGTTTTTCCCTTTCTAGTGGAGAAACCTTTAGAGTTTTTCTAGTGTAAACGCCAAAAGCCAAGATTCAAACTTTAACTCCACGAAGACAGCTTGAATCACGTTTGCGTCCCTTTTTCTAGTGTCTGACCATGGTTAGTCTACACCAACCTTAGTTAGAATGCAATTAACTCCAACAATGCTTATCCTCTTATATGTTGCTTGAACATCAAGCTTTCAGTCTCTACAGTGTGAAATTTGTCGTTGTTGTTGTTATCGTTGATGTCTTGTACTCATGAAGAGGAGAAGCAACCTGGTTTCAAGTGGAGGATGGATTAGGTTTGAGATAAGGAGAGAAAGGAGAAGGAAATAGAGGAAACCAAGAGAGACGTGAGAAGAGGAGAGCAAGACGTACGTCATGGAGGTGGTAGATCTAATTTAGTCATGGTGTGGTGGTGGAGGAACAACGTCGGAGCAGATCAGAGTTGGAGAAGATTAGAAAAAAAAGAAGGAATTATATTAACTAAAAAAGAGGCAGAGCCGAGGTCATGTGTTGTGAGACTGATTCTTTGTCGAACCAAAAGGACTTAGGTCACGAGTATAAGACGTCTTTATAAAAACCATACAGTGAAGAATCCATAGCAATTGACATGACCTTAATCGGAGTTAAACTCCAGATGTTATGGACGTTTCTTTCTGGTCAAGTAACTACAGAACCTGGTCCAGTCTAGAGCCCTGGCAAGGGTTTTTGGCACCACCGTATTCTGATTGGGATGAAATTTTGTGGAGAGATTCATGGTACTACTGTCTAGATAATGAACGGTGGGATGGTTTTTCCAACGGTTAGTTCTTGATTTATGTTTATCTTTCCGAGACAGATATGAAAAGAGTAAATTGTAACAAATCGAATTTTTGGTTTGGCAATTGAAGTTTCAATGAGTGTTTGCTTTATTAGAGTTCACAAGAAAGACAAGCCCAAACCCAATGTAATGTCATGTAACTAGGGTTCCTAGCAAGATGAATTCCTTATATATACTAGTGTAATGAGACCTTAGAGTGTATCTTTGAGAGTTGTCTCAAAACAACTCTCCCTCTTCAATCTTATGAAATATCATCTTTGAATCATTGTGTTCTTGGTGACAAACTCAAGTTCTTTCCTTTTATATTTTAATTTTGTATTTGAATAAAGCTCTTCATGAGCTATCTAATATCTAAGTTTAATCAATCTTAATAAGCTCATTTGAGCATAAATCATCTTGCTTTGGATTTGTTCACATGCTTTACCAATTCTTTGATTTGGGAATGTTCCATCATTGCCACGGTGTTGGTTAACTTATCGCCATTAAATGGTTAACTAACACCGTTTCAGTATATGTTAATTTTGACTGATTTCATATAGTTTAGGTCGTGAATTTGTATTTTTGTGAGTTAAAGTTGCTATTTGTCCGGTATCGTAATTTATGTATAAAAATACCGCCATCAAATAGTTCGGGTCAATTTTCGCTATTTTCCTCCCACCAATTATATATACGTACATAAAGTATATATATATATTTTTTTTTCCAACCAAAAAATTTGGGTATTAAATGAGTAAAGAAAAATTAGATGAAGTAATTTTCATGTTTTTTTTTCTTTAAAATAATAAGAATTTTACAAAATTTATCTTATTGTACCTTAGTACCTTATTGAGTGCTTTTGTCAGTTTGTCACCAACGGTGTACATTGCAAACTGAAATATATTCCCCATCCGATCACCTTATCTGGATATGCATGTTAGATCGTAATCAATCTTGTTTTCTTGTATAATTGGATTTTCACCTTTGATTGGTCAACACGGTTCCCTTTGGTAAACTGAAGTGTGAATAGTGAATACTATCTAATTTGGTCATTGTGTCTAAATCGAAAAGTTTGAAGAGTCACCACTCACCACATTATATAACCAATTAATTTGTCTTTACCAGAAAAATCTCACGGGATAATGACAAGCTAACCAAAGGCAAATATTATAAAATTAAGAATATATGAATTATGAGACAAGACATGCAATTATTTGGCCGTCAAATTATGATAACATATAATAATAATTAAAAGTTACATGCTTATGGATTAGTTAACATATCCTCCGGCCTTAAATAAATAACTTTTTAGGTTTGTATATTTTTTAAATATGGATTTTTTTATAAATTTATAAAAACAAAATTTCTATTTTTATTGGCTTAACTATATATTATAATAATTTTTTTATCAATTAAAGTATGTTTAAATAGATATTAAATCATATTTTTATTTAAAATTTAACATTTTTATAAACCGTATACATTATTATAAAAGTTCATCTAGTCTATTATCGAGAGGTCGAATATCAGAGCAACATTATTGATAGTATTTTAGTCAAATCTAAGCTAAAATATGTGAAGAAAATGATATTTGTATTGGTGCTGGTGGTTGAGGATTCAGTTCTGGAGTGGTTTATGGAGTGTAATAAAGCAAATGAGTAGAGCCAACCAAAAATATATATATATATATCTATATTTAAGGCTAAAAAAAAGATTTTTTTAACTAAATTGGAAGAACAATTTTGTTTCTCTCCATAATATATATGTTCAAACTTCAAAGGACAAATCTTTTTAGAATTATACAAAAAAGATATAAAATTTATCGTTTATTCCACTTTGAATAAAGTAATTCCATTGGTTGCAGAATGATTTCAGAATACACAATAAAAATTAAAATATGATTTTAATGTTTCTCTCCATAATATATATGTTCAAACTTCAAAGGACAAATCTTTTTAGAATTATACAAAAAAGATCTAAAATTTATCGTTTATTCCACTTTGAATAAAGTAATTCCATTGGTTGCAGAATGATTTCAGAATACACAATATGATTTTAACAATAATGGTTACAGTATCTTACTATTTCATCAATTTATTCATAATGGCCATCATGTTTTTATGTATGAATAGATAAAAACACAAGAGGAAACCAAGAAAGAAGACGGCGATCCAACACGCCGCCGTCTCCATAGCGGCTTCCTTCTCCGGCCGCCACTTCATCTCCGACTTCGCCGTCTTCCTCTCCTTAAATTCTCTATACTTCTCCTTCCCTTCTTCTTCCCTTCCCACCCTAAACCGACGACGGTCCATTCCCATCGCCGATGCCAAAATGACCAAACTACCCTTTCCTCCTAAGTTCTTCCCCTCCGCGTCCTCCGCCACAAGGCTCACCTCCCTTATCTGCACCTCCGCCTTCTCCTCTCCCTTCCGACTAAACGCCGCCATAACCACCGTCACCGTGAACTCAACTTCCTCCGAGGGCTTTTTCTTGCCGCTTACCAAGAAAATATTAGAGAATCTTACGTGGATTTCTCCGGTCAGCCAGTGACGTTCCACCGAGACGGGTCTTCGGGTTGATACATCCGCCGCACGTTTACGGGTCGGGTCAATGAGTATCCAGCTCAATGAAAGATTCTCTTCTAACTCACTCTTCCACGTGTCATCTTCCCATTGTTCCACGACCGAAACCTTTGTCGAGACCATCTCTTTAGGTTCGACAAGATCAACACGCATAGGAGAACAGAGGAACCAACCAGAGACAGTCTCTGTCACATGAACTTTTGAGAAAATCACTTCATCTTTATAAAATATATCAACGGCTGAGATCAACTCAGTCGTATCAACAGACGGTGGGAGATTGATCACACCATCTTGTCCAAGAAACGGAAAAGAATCGGAGAAAAACGTCCGGTGACCGGCGGGGAACGTTGAGATGATGCTTTGGACACGTGCGTCTAACGTAGAAGGCCACGTGACTGAACACTGCTGCTTCCAGAGAGACTCTTCCGATGAGAAAGAGTGTAGGTTGGAGCAAGTGCAGCTCAAGGCGGCTAGTGAAGCACCGTCGAGACGGGTTAAGATGTTAGAACGTAACACATCGGAGGAGACGGCGTTGATCCCCGAGCTTTCAAGATATGATGATGGTTGCTCCATCATCGTCGACGAAGAAGAAGAAGAAAGAATCATGAGATATATGAAGATTGAGAGTATAATGTATAAGCTTTGAAATGCTCAAATATATGATAACATTTATATATTATAGATAGTTGTTCGTACTGTAGCAAAATTATATTGTATATTTTTTTTTGTTATTTCAACTATAATGGCACACTAGTTATATTATATCATTATTCAAGTACTGTAGGAGACGTGTTCACTTTCGTAGCAAATGCAGTATCACGTTTTTAAATTAAAAAACGTTAAGAAATATATACAGTCATACAGAAGCAATGATGTTGACCTTAAACTTAATTAAAGCTTCTAAATATAGCTTTAATTAAGGGATCGATCTTGTCGTCGGAAAGGAATCAATTAAATTAATCAAGATCTTTCATATATTCAAGAGATAATGTGTTTTTTACATTTGAATAAGATAAATGGCCTATGTTATTATTTCATTTTTGTCAACAAAACTCGATTAGATGCGTTAGAATCAGCCAATTTGTGGGACAATTGTATAAATGGCATATGTTAGTTAAGGTATTTTATCATTAGAGGGAGAGTTTATAGAAAAATCCCCAAAAAAAAAGAAATATACTTTTTATATTATTTATGTTTGCCATTTAAATTAAGAAATCATTTTATCTTCAAATCAACTAAGAAATAACAAAAAATTATATAATCTATATATATACACACACACACTTTGAAATATATATGATCAAATTGAATTAGTAAAAAGTAATTTTATAATTCTCTTTTACAAAATGATTTCACAGTTAAAGTAAATAAAAATCCCGCAGTTATTCAATAACAACTCCATTTTAGAAATTTTTGCGAAAGTTATGATTACAAATTTTTGTGAGGTTCTGACAATTGATTTATTTGATTTTAAATTTTATGCTAACTAAAGTTATTAGAAAATTGTTCACATCAAGATATATATACACATTTTTCTTTATTATTCAGAATTTAGTTACTCGTTATAAACTAATAATAGTTTAAAATTAAAACAACTAAATGGTATCCTTATAAGAGTGTTTAGGGTACCAACTTGCCTCCTAATAAAATGTATCAAACATGATATGTATATTCATTTTTAAAAAGATTTCAATATTAAAAGACATTTTTCAAAACTAGCTAATGTGAGAAAATTTAGCTACAATAAAATTTTGGTATATCTAATCAGTTTATTAAAAATTATATATTGACAGGTTTTAAATTCTCCTCTTTTAGTCAGACCCTCAATAACCCTACAATTATATCAAGCATAGGAAAATTAAATTATTATATTTTGATTGATTTGGATCCTTATCAGTTGTATGATTCGACTTGCATTATTATTTCTTTTACAATTGAAATGATGATTAGATTCAATTTTTAAATCATCAACATGCAGATTTTGTATGATTTCCACGTTTATATTTTTATTATTATTACAAGATATTGACCGGTGCCTTACACGAGATTAACATAAGTATATTAAAATAAGTATATTGATAAATAAATGCTATTGTCACATTCACATTATTAAATATATGTATTTGGCTCGTTTAGCTAGGATTAGGAAATAATTGTTATTAAGAGATCTTGGGTTTAGGATCTAAATATAGGCCTATTAGGTCACAACCATTATGCAGTGACGAGTATTTTTGGTGGAATTAACAAAGATTTAACTAAAGAAAAAGATCTTAGAGGTTGATTGGTTCATGTGCCAACATCTTTTATGAGATTCCTCCTAGAACTTATAGATTACTCTAACTCTTTAAGACCAACCTTTACCAAAACTGTCGACAATGATAAAATTATGGATTGGAATAAATAGCCTTGGCAAATCAGATATCTAAGCGGATTTCGGTTCTACCTATTCGGATTTCGGATAAATCAGTATAAGATCTATAGATCCTATTCGGTATTTACCAAAAAAAAATTAGTTCGGTAAGATAGTAACTGGCCGGGTTTAGAACGGTTTTCTACTCCAATACGAACTCCAAATTAACCCAAAACTTTTTCGGGTTATAATCGGTTTGGTTTATCTGAGTAAAAAAGTACTCAAATAACCGATTAAAACCCAAGATACCCGATTAAAATTAGAATTGCCTAAATAAATAACCAGAAATAACCGAGTAAACCATAAATTTAAACCATGATATTAAGTTTCACCATAACACAACCACGTATCATAACAATAAGTTCAATAATTTCACAACTAATTTTTATTTTAAAAGCTAGAACAAGTTCAAATAGCTGCCATCTAAGGCTTAGTGGGTCAAGACCTTATTAGACCATTAAGTTTAAACGGGTGTAAAACGATGGTCCATTTAACTTAAGTTACAAACCGAACCAGGACCGAAGTCTATTTTACCAAAGCCTCTAAGCCCATTCGGCATTTCTGTTTAACCCGAACCCTACCCGATACCGCTTTTATCGGTTCGGTTCTGGTATGGTTCTTCGGTACAAGATATTATGCCCAGGACTAGGAATAAAAATGCTCTGTGAAGAAGCAGCTAATTATACACTTATACATGAAGATACTCTACTAACAAAAAGTGACTAAAAGCCAGATAATACATTTGTGAAGGTTAAAGGAGATTCCAAACTACAAATGCACATCGATTCTGTGTAGTGCCTACTCTAACAAGATTTGAGATTTGGGAAATGGGTATTTATAACCTATAGATTTATCATTATCTGCCCAAATTAACTTTAAATTATGTTGTTGACTAATTCAACAAAATATCTCCTCTTTGATTGGGAAATGAGAAATGGAGATTGACATTGATTCTCTATCAATGCTTATTGTCGTTATCTCATCGAATATAACAATCTCATCCTCTCTTTTTTGGTCTAAGTCTCGAGATTGGTACAACATCTAGCTAGTATTCATTGAGTTACTGATTTTGTGTGTTTGCAAATCAAATAAAAAGAAAAAAGAAACTGTACTCTAGAACTGTCGCATTCTCCGATGTTGAAAGATTTAAAGTAAAAAAATCCAAAAGTCTTGCCTAGACATGGGCAAATAACCCAAACCGAATGGACCAAACTACGGGGGAGTTATTGGGAGAATGATTTTTAAAGATTTTTAGAGTTTAAGATTCCATTGTTATTGGTTTATAGATTCTTAGATTCCTCCCAATAACCCCCCCTACAAGTTTTGTTCGGGTTCAGATTAGGTTAGAGGGAAATAACTAAACTGTATCTTTGAATATCAGTTAGTAACCGAACTGATATCCATTTGGTTATCCTAACAAAACAAAACTCATATTAAAACTTTGGTTTGGTCGAGAAATGAAACTCCAGTCTTCTTGGCACTTGAGCTGTATGTAGCCACTGCAGTCGTTATGTGTTTTAGATAAAGGAATAAAAGTAAACTAAAAAAACATACCGATATCATATATATTTAGACCAAAATATTTTAAAAACTAACCAAATGGATATTAAATTTCTATATCCAAAATATCCAAAAGCGAATAGATATATCCGGAACCGAACCGAATATCTAAACGCAACAGAGTCAAACAGATCGATCTGCGCCCATTTGGACCATCCGTAACAGGCATATTTTTTTTTCTGGCCGGCTAAATCCGCAAACAAAATTGTTATGTCCAAGTCCGTCCCGTTAAACAACAAGTAAAAATGGGTTAATATTGTTAAGCAAAATACATATGAAAGCAAAATTAACATATATACCCATCACACAGCCCGTCACACGGGCTGTATAAATGGACATGTTTGAATCGCTATTACTAAAATATTAAAAATATCATTAATTTTATATTTTAAAACGAGTTAAAACTTTATTATACTAACTTTTAACAACATCATAAAACATGTCGAATCAAACTGATTTAATTAAGTTTGATATTATGCGATTTAAATAATTTACAAACAAATTTCAATATACAAATAGAGAAGCTTAAAAACAAAATCAAAATCAAAAGTTTTGCCCCACAGCATACTGTAGATTAAAATATAGTTGTTAAATCAAAACAGTTGTTAAATCAAAACATTACTCAAATTATAAAGGAGTAGCACAGACGAGACATCAAAACAACTTTCAAGGCTTCGTAGTGTAATGATTTATCCATTAGTAATATTTCCATGGTACACCTACTTTTTTTTTTTGGCTGATTTGACGACCTAAAATCAGTAGCTCAACAAATCAGTAGCTTTCATTGGAGGTATTTTAGGAGGCTAAGATACCCCATTTTTTTTTAAAAAATATCTTATATAAGAATTTTCTTTGGAAAAGTGGGGGTATCTTAGCCTCCTAAGATACTCCCAATGAAGATGCCCTAAGGGCAACATTATTGCAACATTATTTCAGTTTTAAGATGCCTGCAATAATGTTGGTCTAAGCTAAACACTAAATGATGCTTAAATTAGAAAAACAAAATATAACCAATCAATTAAAAGGGTTCCAAAGTCTCTCTTTTAAGCACTCCTCTTCGTTCTCTTTCTTCCATTTTAGTTATTTTTATTTTTTTAATACAATGAAAATCATGTAAGCACTTCCCATTGGAGGTGCTCTACCAGCTCTATTAGACTATGTCCAACCCAAGTATGTTAAGCTATTTCTTAGGAATAAAGTACCAAAAAATAAATCAGTAATCATAACTAGAGTAAGAAATGTCTCTTATCTAACAGTTTTTGTGTGTGTTTCTTATTGAAACGTGTTTAATTGTGATTGGCTTGAGTTTGGGAAAAAAAAGCTAAAAAAAACAAGTTTGTATTTCAAGTTTGTTTTTAACAAGTTTTTCAAAAATAATCTTAAGAACTTTAATTTAGAACTCTACCACTGGAGTCATATATTTATTTTCATTTTCAAAAAAATTTTAACTTCAAAACTTGTACTTTTTTTTATTACAATAATGCTAAGAAATTTGTTTACAATTTTAGCATTGGACATGCTCTTAGTTAGATATTCAATGAGTATCAAAGTAATTAAATAATAATTTAGTTTAGTTTAAATGAAGGTATGATACTCTATTAATTTTGGGCCTCCATTTGGTTACATACCCAATAAGTATCTCCATCTCTGTAATATTTGTTTCTTCAATTTCTT